AAATACAATAAGTAAATTCTTGGCAAAAGTTTTATAAATAAAAACCACCTGTATCTTATACATAATACTTACAAAAAATGCTATACAAAAGGTTGTATCTTTTTCACAACACGTATCTACTTTAAAAAATCGGTCTCATACACATCGGCTGGTTTTGGTAACTTCTAGCTTTTTTCTGTTTCTTTTATATTTTTCGATTAAAGAAAACGAAGGAATTCCAAAGCACTATGTGGCTGATATTTATTGATTATAAAGCAGCTTAAGGCTTGGTTTTGTGATATGAATTGTTCCAGGCAATGAAGAAGATATATATTCCTTTAAAAATCATCAGTCTGATAATGTGTACTGTATTGTAATGATATAAACAGCAATGTTAAATTTAATGGTAAGCTTACCAGCGTATTTTAGGTATACACTGGACTCAGGCAACGTGATTCTCTAGCGCCACTGCCATTCAACATCGTACTATAAACTATAGTAGCAAGCACGGGCGGATCTACAGGGAGGCTTTCGGGATATAAAGTCCCTCCTCCCCAAAAATGGTTAAATGTAACCATTTCTTATCGAATAAAATATCTCTTAAAGTATTATTGTTCGTGTAATTACATTTGAAAGGGCTTTAGGAATCACTTAAACACCATTTCATACCGGTAGTTAGTTTCTTTCTTTCTTGCCAAAGTAGTTTATTTTTAGTTCAGTTATCGTTATTTTTATGAAAAAAAAATTTTCGGGCTGAAGCCCCTCCCAAAATTAAATCCGGGATCCGCTAGTGGTAGCAAGAACCTGTCTGGATGAGAATGGGAATACATTCTACAAAGGGATCCAATTACTAGTATATGCCGATGATGTGATGATAGCTGGAAGGTCTCTCCTTAATGCCAAAGCTGCGTATGAGAAACTGGAAAGGGAGGTCAGAAGATTTGTCCTAGATATTAATGTAGAAAAGACCAAAATTATAGTTATGAGAAGAAAGGAACCCAGACGTCCCCAGATGTGTTATACAGTCGGAAACTACACATTCTAATATGTTGATAGTTTTAAGTACCTTGGATAACAGTTTAATGTAGTATTAGAAGAGGAGGAGGTGATCCAGGCACGTATTTTCTCGGCTAATAAAGTTTTTCTCTCGATAGCTCATCTCATGAGAAATAGATTGGTAACACACTCAACCAAGTTAAGTATATATGATACTAATTAGACCAGTCACAACATATGCATGTGAGACGTGGCCCCTTAACAAATCAGTAGCTTTGAAGATTGACATCTTTTAGCGTAACATATTAAGGCGTATTTGAGGAGCTGTGAGAGAAAATTATTAAACAATGTCAGAATACAGCGGCTGAAGTAGTTGGGTCACCTCCATAAATTTAATAACTGGAGAACCATCAAACGGATATAACAGGGTTATCCGGAAGGATTGCGGACTCGAGGGAGACCAAGAAGTAGATGGAAGGAAAACGTCTCAGAAGACCTCCGAAGTATAACATGTATTAAGACTAGCTGCGGACCGACAGAACTGGGCTAATGCGATTGAGCAGGCCAAGGAAAGGCCAAGTGCGTCTGTCGTGGCTATGAAAAACAATATATTTTTATAAAATTATTGCTTATTTTTTGTTTATTTATGGAATAAAGTTTCACTTTACTTTAATAAAGAATCACTTTACCTTCAGGATGTGTCTTCAAACATTATTTGGTCAATATTTATTTTCAAAAATATTTTATACTTACATAAAGGAACAATTTTTGAGTTTTTACACCAAAAAGGAAATGAATATAAACAAAATGAATAAAAACAAAAACAAGAAATTAACAACAATAAAAAAGAAGAAATATCTATCTTCGGATTTTCACTTTACCAAAATCCAAATCTGCATTGAGTTTAAAAATAAAATCTAAACGTAATCTTTTTTAAATCCATTTCTTTTATAAATGTGGTTTCAGGTTCTTCTAGAGATTCTTTTTCTGGCATAAAATCTTATCGAACTTTCATGAAAATGTAGTTCAGCATGTGACGTGGATCTTCTGTTACTTCACATACATCCCAATTTGTGTCCTATTCAATTCTCGTAAGGCTCAGAAATTTCTTTGTGCAATGATATTCCTTAACCTAAAAACAAAACCCCTTACAGTAGGATCAGTTTGGAAAATTATTTATTACGGATTTAAATCGGAATTTGAGTCAGTTATGTTACCATCCCACGACATGATTTGGATCGGTTCCAAGATTAGATTGGAAGTTCGAAAAACATAATTCAACGTCCGATTTTTTAAAGCATTCAATCTCACTGATGGTATACTAACATATGATTATAAGAATCTCATCTTTCCAAAATGTAATTCGTAATCTTCGATTTACGAGAACTCGTTGAAGGGAAAGTAACCGTTCAAGGACAATTCAAGGTTATCCTTTCAGGCTACATCTTAATGTCAACACGATTTTATTGCAACGATAATCTTCCTTCATGACTTCATAATATGAAGGAACTTCATGACTTCGCTCGTATGATAATTATTTACTTATCATTATTAGTAATTTGATGATTAAAAATTAATCTAACTGGTAGTGACCGCAGTGTTGACTGTTGTAGCAAGTTGTAGAAATGCCCAAAAAATATAGCAGTTTATGTCGACTTTAAAAACAAAATTATTATCTGAAAAGTGCGATTTTACAATTTTGAAAAACAAAAACAGTCAATTTTTCGCTTAATTGGCAATATTATGAAATACCACTACAATATTACATTGAAAAAAATAATCCTAATCTGCTGCTGTGATCATAATAATTTACAATTGGTAATTCACTCAAGATTTTTTTTATGCGCATTATAAACGTGAGAAATATTCTGATAATGTTTTAACATCTATGTGGCAGTACAAATAACCTTGATAATAAGAATAACATAAATTTGTATTTTACTAGCATTCGAATATATTCATATTATTTGTTACTTAAATTAATGAAAATGAGATCCTTGAACTAGGTATTGATTATTTAAATTATAAATATAGCTCACACAATATTTTTAATACGGGTAAAGCAGTTACCCAAACTATTCAAAACTTATTTTTTTGAATCCGACAACGTTTCGCCAATTTGGGCATCATCGAGACTGAAAAGAAAAACAAACCGATCACATCAGTCCATGACATGCAACCGCACACTAGTAAAAAAGAAAACGATACGAATACAATTTTTTTTTAGTTGTTTAAATGCATTTAGGAGAAATAGTATTGTGTCGTTGAAATGTCCTATTATAACCAAATATTGAATTTCTGTCTCTTGGAGATTTTTTTTTTTACAAATTTACATTAAGATATTCAATAAATGTCGTTTCTCCTACCCAGGTATCCTCGATACACGTTTCCTAAATCATTATTCAATTCATTGTACCTTTTAACGTACTATTTTTTATATCATTAGTAAATATATTTTAATAACTTTTCTTCCTTATTATCATAACTGTGTTATTTTGTCATTACTTGGCGCTGAGGAAGAGCTAAAATTTCGACCATAAAGGTGGCACATAAACAGCAACGTTTTTTTTTTTTTATACATCACTGACTGTAATCTCTGACTAACTTCTCTTACTAAATCATGTTTTATTTAAATGTTTTTATTTTTCAAGTATTGGCAATTTTTCTTCATCATACAGGATCATGAACTTACTTATATCATGATATGAAACCAACAAAAATCGAGAATACATACATTTTTTTTTTCATTATATTGAGCTCAAATTATTATTATCATGGTTACTTGAAAGATGCTCCAAAATTTTCTCAACAAACAAACCTGGCAATTACAAATTACTTATAAGGCCTTTACAGACTTACGGGATAGAGCTATGACCCACTTCGAAACTTTTCAACATCCTCGAAATTCAAAGTTTTCAATCTAAAATTCACAAGGACTTAAACATCCAAAGGATTTCAAATTCAGGAACACAACTCTTATTTTTCTCTTCCTTCGCTTTTAGGCTATCCGTAGTTTTTCCCCGGTCATGGAAGAGAGTGGATGATTAATGCCAAACTTCCTAATTATTTTATCTTGTGAACTTCGGTTTATCAGGTTGCCGGGTGAGCTTTATTTGGCACACGCGTTAGCACACATGGCCATCCTAACCCCAGCAACACAACACTATAAAAACTTTCATCAGAGACTGGCACCATGAACCCATTAGTCCAAACATTTAATTTACCCGTACATTTCACTCCGAATACTTTAAATGCGATGGCCAAAAGACTTGCTAATTTAGCCTATACCTGGAATGAGCACAGATTTGCTTATTCCAAAAAATACTTTTGCAGATATCAAATTTCAAGCCTGACAAATTTATTAACATAAATAAATTTAAAAATGTATATATTTCAAAACAACCATAGATATATAGCCATCAGACTTAAAAATTGATTGAGCCGTTCGCTCAAAAAATCTTTCAAACGGACAGGTTACAGAGATTACCCTCCTCGTGACTTTGTCATTTATTTACATTGATAAATATAAATTTATTATTGTTTCGTTTAATTTTCATCAGTCAGTCAGTAGTCTGGTCACTCACAATTTTCTATTGTTTATTTTGTCTTAACTATATTAATCAAAATCCATTATATTAAAAAAATTAACTTAAATATTTAGTAGTGCCTAAGTCATTTTTAGTTTCAATAAGCACAGAAAATACACAAATATTCGTTTATTTTTTAATATATAAAACACACTGTGATGGAAATAATTTATACATTTAGCGAACATATGAACATATAGCGAAATGACTGTCATTAGGACCTGTTCGTGCTCACTCCGTGGTTAACAATCGCGACTGGTGTATAATGACAACCACTAACCTCGACCGCGTCTTATCTCTCAAGGCGTTATGTAATACCGTTTCCTTCGATTCAAAACTGCCTTCCTCATTGTGAGCCTGCAGGATTTAAGAATTAGTTCATTGCGAGGCGTTTATAGGCATTTGTTCGCTTTAATTAGCAGAAGCATCCTTGCCTAAATGCTCGTGTCCTTCACGGGTGGAAGAGTCCAAGAAGAGGGGAGCTCCGAAGATATAGTTGGGAGGCCTCCCACCGAGGGCAGTGCACCTGTAAGCGTCGTGATGATCAGTTCGCTAGTAATTGTAGTGGGGCTGTGCGGAGTGGCCGTATCTCAAGAATTCAAGTTGGTCAAAGTAGTAACAGAGAGGAAGAAGGAAGAGCCTAGGGTAGAGTACCACGAGGAGTCTGAAAGAGGTTATCCACTGATAGTCCAGCAGCCGTATCCGATCATCGTCGAGAAGAGGATACCCTACAACGAGGATCGGTACGACCGGAAGGATAGCCCAAGTGTTTATACTTCAACGAGTGATGAATTCGGGTATAGGCCAGAAGTCGTGAGATCACCAATAATTTTTACAGTCAGCAGCCAGTCTGTTCCCAGCAGAATTCCATATCCTCTGAGGATACAAAAAGAAAACTGGCCTCTTCCTTGTGTTGGAGATGATCCGAATTGCCTCGAAGAAAAAATTGACAATTCTGCCAAACATCCAATAAAAAAGAAGAATATATATAAGTCAGTTGAAAGCGTTAAACAAGAAAATATAAAACTAAATGAAAGGGATGTTCCTATCTCTAGCGATTACGAAAAAATAGAGGGTTCGGTACAGCACAAGGAAACCTTCCAAACACCAATACTCATTGCTATTGAAAAACCAGGTTACAAATACGTCAAACATTTGGTGGGCGCAGGAGTTTTGCCGAAGGCTAGGCAGTTTCACGTATTGATACTTGAAGAGGACGATACTTCAGACAACGCGAGCCATGAAGGATTAAACAATACTGAAAGTGGGCAGGAAAATGTTTCCAAAAATCTACCCTCAGAAGATATATTAAGTGACAACAAACAAGAGGAGGAAGCTGAAGAAAACCAACAGAAGCGAGAGGTAACATTGGAAGAAAACGATACAGCAGAGGGCGATATCATCTCCCCGTCAACCAAAGGAAAATTGAATGATAATAATGAATCATCGTGCGAATATGAAATGAAGAAGATACGATATGTCAAATGAGGCGATTGCGCAGCTCCTGGAACAACGATAGACATAAAAAAGAAATAATTATGACTGAATATCCAGTGATCAGTGAAGTTCAATAAAGTGTTTTCTAATAAATCGAGTGATCAGCGTAACTATTTTAGCGGAAACAACTATTAATATATTCGTAATAATTAAATGTAAGTAATAATAACAACTGCTCAAGTTATAATATATAAGTAATAATTCATGCTATTTAGCCCAAGTGAACTTACCAGAACTTTAATTATTAATGTTGACTTTAACCTTCAATTACTAATTTAACCTGTATTACTTTTTACGAATAATACTCTATTAGTAAAGTTGTTTGTACCTACTTCGAGATTCAAAATAAGCTATTGAAGTCAACACAAGTAAAATATAGAATTATGATTAAATACACTAAAAATCTTAATGATTATTGTACAATAAAAAGAATATAACCAAAATAATTGTAATAAATATGAATTATACATTGAATTAAATCAAGTATATTACTATACTCTTAATAAATAAAATTACTCTTAATAAATTAAATTACTCTTAATAAATAATTATAGACAGAAACGTGATAAGAGCGTATATTTCAGAACATATAAGTAAAATTAAATGATTCAAATTTTCAAAGAAACTATAAATCTTATACTAAATTTTATTCAGCTAACGTACCAAATCAAAATGTTACAAATATATCAGTCAAATATATAGAAGTTAACAGTCATAATTATGATATATCAATAAATTATGGCTTGGAATACCTCGTTTTTGAATGAAAGACTTCCTTCGGTAGGAATAAAAAACATTTTTCAAACGTAATTCAAAATGTTAAAAGTGTTTGTGTATTTAATTTAAGGTGGAGTACTATATTACATTTTTTTTTTTTTAATATATCAAATTTTCTCCGTTAATGATAAGAGTTGTGCCATTTTATTTTTCACACCTCTTGGTCTCGCCTTCAAATACGATGTGTCAGCAGTCGATGGAGTGTAGTTTCATGAGATTAATGACGCCAAATCACAAAATCTGCATTTTTGGCAGTTTGCAAGTATCACTTCTTTGCTCAAATAATATTTATAAATAAATGAATCTAGTAAAAAGAAAAACAACTATCTATTGCTTTCGGTGTATACTAGTAACATTTTTATCTTTACATTTATTGTATGGCCTAAAATACAATTATAGCTGTTGTTTAAAATGGATATTCTATATTTTATAAGATATATTTATAATACCACAATGTTCATAAAAATAAGAAAAGTTACTTTAACAATAAATAAACAAAACTAGAATATGTTTAATTTATTATAACCAATTCATTGCTTAAAAAAAAAAAGTTTACGCAGAGATCTAAAATTTGATATAACTACATTAATCTTAGATTTCCGCAAATCTGTTTTTAAAATGCATATTAGAAATTGTTAATGAACTGAACGACAGTCAACAATTTATTGACAAGTAGAAGATCTTCTGCCGCACTTAAGAATAATAAGTATTGGAGCTATGAGTCACACATTCATACCATGTATAGAACAAAAAAAAATAACAGAAACCCCAAAAAAATATTATAACAAAACAAAAGAAAAACTTTATCGAAAACAAAAGAAATGACAGAAACAATAAAATTAATAACAAAACTAAATGTATACAGGGTGTTTCAGGATTAAGTGACGAAACTGCAATAGTGAACTAAGGACCTCAAAACAAGATAAAAATTTCCTCTGAAAGTATGTCCGCAAGCGCTTTGTTTAGGAGATATTCACCCCTAAAGATTTTCATTGTTATGAATTATTTATGTTATATGAAATAAATAAAACCTATTTATTTGTTCTAACTACATTATTAATTAAATGTAAACATTAACATTCGTATGTTGGTCAGAGTGATTTCCTTGAGCATGAAGACGGGCACGGCGTCTTTCTTCAACAGCAGCAGTGGCAGAACGGCACTAGATGTATGCTATTGTTTCACAAGATTCAATTATCCTTCTTCGTAAAGAATTAAGGTCATTACTTATATTGCATAATCTATAATATTAGTTTGAAACCAATTTTGTAATCAATATCTCATCATGCGTACATGACTGAAAACGTGAAAAAGAACATCGGAACAACGAAATCATTATATAAACATGTAACTACATAACAGTTCAATATTTTTTTCTTCACTTTTTGTCCATATTTTTTTTTAATCTATTGATGAGCTTTGAGTTAATCGATTTAATTTTTTCGAAAGCAGTATACATAAATAAAAATGGAAATATACGTTTGTTTAAAACAGGCAATCTCCGACAGTTCTGCACCGATTGCTTTGACATTTTGATACAACAATTGTAATTAGTGTAGGTTTGTTTTATATAATTTTCATTACCTTCCGGCCTTTCGTTTAGAAAAGGCTGCCAAAGACCGTGTGTCGCTATAGGCTTTAGCGCCACAACGGCTGTAACAATTTTAATGAAACTTTGCTAGTCTTCTCCTTGAAGCCCTTTTTAATTATGTATACAGAAAGAATTTTATTCGCAAATAACTAAAAAGTGAACAAATGGGACTGAAATCGTATGTACTCTCACTATGGATAAAAGTGTATGTTCTGTGACATACAATGAACAAATGTATTAGAGTAGAAAAATTTTTTCAAAAAATAATTTATATAAGATTTTTTAAAATTGCCAATAATGATTATAGTCCATAAGGCCTCTCAGTCAACACTAGCATTTGTAAATAATTAACAAAACAAACAGTAGTTTCATTTAACATTGAATAGTATTATGCTGTCGATAGTTAACAGATGTTCTTAAGACCTTGACTCCGCACGATCTGAAACTAACTACGTTTCCTGGAGAGGCCAAACGCCGAGTGTTCCTTCGGGTACGCTGGCGTCAGGGTTCAGGTATGCAGGCAGCGTCCTCTGGAAGAATAATGACTGCTGGGAAATTGAAATTCTTCTTTTAATATACTTTTCATGGAGATGACGCATATCAAGGTTTCAAATATAAAAAAATGATCAATACTGAAACAAATTGAGGTGTGATTATGATAAGAAATAAATTGACATCATAATCCATGAACATTAAAATATTTGTTTGAACCTTCTTTTCATCTGCGGAACAAATTACCTAAAATTAAATAACATGACATGCACTTTTTTGGCTTGAGTGTGGTATTTTTATTACTGACGTAAAACTTCCCAGGTAGGGAAATATAATTTTATTATATAGGTCTATAATAGCAATCGTTAGTAATGAAAATGTTTAGTCATCTTCATCAAATAACAAAAGAGATGTAAAAGTACATGGTACTGCACAACTATTACCATCTGCCATCTGCAGCCGTTCTATTCTTTATAATAATTCTCTCAGCAACTGTCGTTGAGCTTGCTTATCACGGTGGTGGCCATTCAGTTGCCATGATGAACATCCAGTTTTTCCGCACATTCGGCATTTTCAAAATTATAATCAAATGTAGACTAGAACAGGGTACATGGTACATTGGACAGCCCCTGGACAATGGATCTATGTTGCAAAGGAGTCTTGACTGCGAATTAGTCCCAATCCGCGATACCTCCTAGGTGCGTACATCAACGATGATTAGCGGGGATACTGATAATGGCCTTGATACTCCTGCGAATATTTGTACCAATACCATCTAATATCGGAGGATGTATCTTTTCCTGGTGAGTAGTTAAGTCCCGGGAACACATATTTATTTATAATGTTGATCTTTTGTTCGGATTTAAGAAGGCAAGATCTCACTAGTTTGTAAAAGTTATTGTAAAAGTGCGACACCTTTCCTCATTTAGTACAAAAGATTCTGGATTGAATTGAGGAAACAGATCACCTTTAGAAAAAACCAAAGAGACTTCATCAAGGGTCTGTCGGAAGAACACAATAATAAAGGATGCCAAGCTTAGAATGATTGCATGATTGTCGGCGCTTTTGACAACGTTGGTCACCATACCATCTGCTCATTGGAGCCAAGAGGGTTATCACAGGACTTGAAAACCTTATTTCAGCTTTTCTGGGTACCAACTCAATCAGTATTGGAGTCGGAACCCACTCAGCACAAGGTACACACTGAACAAGCTGGATCAAGTTGTGGCTAGGAGTCCCCCAAGGTGGACCTTTGTAGCCTTGACTATTCAATCTGGCTATTGATCACCAATACCGCAACCTGTGTGGGCAAGAACTTCCAAGCGTTATGTATACAAGTTAACCAGCGACCAAGAATGTTTGGTCCTCGTAGGACGTTTGTGGATGACCAGAATGTCGTAGCACTCAACAAGTGTGCTGCAGAGATGATATTTAACTCAGAGGATTCTTGCTGAGATTGGTCAGGCAGTTAATCTGAAGAAAAGCGTTGGCCTAATTGTTGATAAAGGAGAACTGCAACAAACAAAGCTTTCCCTAGAGATCGGAAAGTCTTCAGAACAAGGCTGATGCCACTGTAAGATATTTAGGATTTACGTTCTCGAGAGGGTTGATACTGAATGAGGAATGGTGTCGCACTATTACAATAACTTTTACAAACTAGTGAGCTCTTGCCTTCTTAAATCCGAAAAAAAGATCAACATTATAAATAAATATGTGTTCCCGGGACTTACCTACTCCCGCCTGGGAAAGATACATCCTCCGTTATTGGAAGGTATTGGTACAAATATTCGCAGGAGTATCAAGACCATTATCAGCCTCCCCGCTAATCATCGTTGATGTACGCACCAAGAAAGTATCGCGGACTGGGACTAATTCGCAGTCAAGACTCCTTTGCAACATAGATCCATTGAATAGGGGCTGCCCAATGTACCAAATACACTGTTCTAGTCCACATTTGATTATAATTTTGAAAATGCCGCATGTGCGGAGAAACTTGATGTTCATCATGACCACTGATTGGCCACCCCCGTGATAAGCAAGCTCAACGACAGTTGCTGAGAGAATTATTTTAAAGAATAGAGCAGCTGCAGATGACAAGGCGCCGGATTGAGGCATTTTAAAGAGGCCAGAGAGTTGCAGGCCAATCGTGCTTTGCACAGGCGTTAGACCTCTGCCACTCTGCTCTCTGAATCCCAGGAGCCATTGGACAGTCGAAGGAAGTTGGGTCTCTCTGTCGTAAATATGGGGGAATATCCATGTGCTTGGGAAATGACCCAAAAACTCCCTCCTAATAAAGCGCCTGCGCCAAAGGGTCAAGTTGAGTTGATGAGGCTCCTTATGGAAAGGGAATTCACATGCATCGAAGAGCTTTATTGCATCGACAGTGATGTCTCTACAAGATATGCGGATATTGTTACATTCCCCAGGACCAGAAAGATAGCACTAGGATTCAACCTTCAGCAACCATGAGGGGAAAAAGTACCCAGCTACC